ATCATTAGCCTCCTCAATGACAAGACAAGGGAAGCCTTCCAGGATGCTGGGATCAAGGCCACCATTTTTACTCGTAAAAAGCTTGCAGTAAAACTTCTTGGCATGGTTTCCCAGGTCGGTTGCATTAGTGATCCAAGTACCATCCTCAAGCTTGAGCTTCAAAATGCGATTCTGGTTCCTCCTTGTGATTGTACTCGCGTGGAAAAACCCAGAATTTTGATCACCCTCATGTAGCCAAGAGATTCTTGACCTCTGAGCCCAGAAACTTTCTTCCGAGGCCCATAGTGCTTCCAACTCAAGCTGGAGCTCCTTCTCTTCATTTATCAGAACTGTAGAGCGAGTCGTCCCTTGTAACACCTGTAATCTATGTCTTATCTCCTTTTCTCTCTTTTGCTTCATCTTTCTATCATTCCTTGCCCAGATTCCCAGTTCCTCCTGGCAGTCACTGAGAATATCCTGGACCAGTCCCCCTATGTCACAACGGTTCTGAATAATCTGGCAGCACTCTTCACTTTCACGCCATCTCTTGTCAAACCTAAATGGAACACAAGGGCCATGTCCTCTTGGGTGGAGATCAATCCTAATTGGACAATGATCCGATTCCACAAAGTCCTCATGAAAGACCGTGGCTGCCTCAAAAAATGTTCTCCAGGCAACCGAACACAGGGCTCGATCAAGCCTTTCCCTAATTAGGTTGTGTCCTTGCTGTTTATTGCTCCAAGTGAAAATCTGCCCCGAGAAACCGAGGTCCAACAAAGCATTCCTTGCGATAAAATACTTGAAAGGATTGACGTTCTCATTCCTTAAGGGACATCGTCCCTGCTTTTCAAAAGGGGACATAGCAACATTCAAGTCACCGTCAACAAGCCAGCTTTCATCCTGATTTGCTCTAAGGTTCGTAAGTCGATCCCACAGAGCATTCCTCTCTACCGCCGTGGTAGGGGCATGGACGAAAGTGCAAAAAAACTTGACCCCATTCCTACTGATTCTAGTGTCCATAAAGGACTTACAAGAATCCAACACAACAACATCGACATCTTCCTTCCACCAAAGGGCCAAACCGCTTCCTTCTATTCCCAGACCAACATAATCTGAATGAGAAAACTTCATTTGTCTTTTCTTCTCCTCCATAAAAGAGTCATCTTTTCTGGTTTCCATAAAAAAAAACAACGGACAGGCCGAATTGACGACAGAGTCTGCCGCAGTAGCTCCTTGTAAGAGGCTGGCCGAACCCCCTACAATTTCAGCTCAGGAGCCTCATTCTTGGAGAGGCGGCCTGAGGCTTGCCGCCGCTGCCCTTGGAGTGGTTGACTCCCCTTCTCCGGACTGGCATCCCTCCGCCGTGATATCAACCAGACTCTTCTTCCGGATGCTATGTTTCCTCCTTTGATAGATTCTTCTATTCTCACCTGGCACAAAAGACAGAGAATCAAAAGATAGATTAGTGGGTATAGCCTGTTGGTCAGTTGGGGTGGACTGGCTGGTTCGATCTTCGGGCTTCCTTTTCTTCTTGGGCCTGGTCACCACTTCCTCAGTAGCTGCCGTAGTTGTTATTGGCACTGGACTCTGAATTTGGGCCTGGTTATTCACCACCTGACTCAGTTGATCCATGGTTGATGGGTTGGGAGACGCATCCGTTGGTGTGAAAGATGGGCTCGCCAGGGTGAGTGACTGGCCCATTTCGAATAGGCCCGCCATCTTGTCCTGCTCTCTTTCCCTTCCCCTAGGTCAAGACTCCTCTGCATCGCTCTGGTCGTCGCCTCCATTTCCATCTCCAGAAAAGCTGTTTGCAGGGTAGGTGTCGGGTTGACTCCCTCTCCTCTATACACCCAGTCAGATCCTCTCCCAGAGCTTGGTAGGGTTGCATAGCCCGGTTGGTATGGGAAAGGTCCCTGTAGAGGTAGGCCTGTGAGGGTGACCTGAGAAGATTCTCCTTGGGTGTCGCGGATCTGCTGTCTTCCTGTGTTCTGACTTGTCAGTCGCCTTGAGCTTGCAATCCTCTCTCTGAAAGATGTCGGCGGTGTGTTTGCCGGTGAGTCATGTCCGGCTCGTAGTGTATCGTTGTAAACCACCAATGGATCGATGCTCAGCCCTCTCCTTCTGTGATCCTCCCTTGTCAGGCAGTTGTGGATGAGATGGCCTAGTCTCCCACAGAAGTAACATAGGTCCATGATTCTCTCATATTTGAAGCTTACCCATACCGATTTTTCCCCCACCGGATATTCGAAGCCGATCGGAATGGGCTCGTCGATGCTCACCTCCACTTTTGCTCTGACGAACTTCAACCATCCTCTGAAATCGAAATTCGATCGGTCGATATAGTGGAATTGGGGGAAGATGAAAGCTGCGACTGCCTGCACTGCCTCCTCGTCTTTCAGGGATTGTGGGAGATCATGCATTTGGACCCAGAGTGTGACTGTAGAGATGTCGGAAGCTTCTGCCTTTTGTTCTCCATCCCACTTCTTCAGGGCAACCAAGGTGTTTCTTAGGTTCCATGGCCTCGCCTCCCACACAGCATCCCTCTGTTTTGCTGACTGGAAAGAGTAGACAAAGAGGTTTTCCTCTTCCTTGGTGACCTGGACTTCCCCATATGTCCTCCATTTGTTGACGGCAGCATTTCTGGCTTTTGGGAGGTTGACGCTAGCATCAGTTATCCATTTCCCCAGCAGCATTGACATACCACTGCCTCTTGCACCCACAATGGTCGGTCTCACATTCAGGATCAGGTGGCTCTTCTCTCCCCTCAAGCTTTACGACAGATTTTCCATCTTTCTACTACCTCTTTTGTTTGCAATATTTTCAGAAAAGGAAGGGAACTTGGTTTGTACTATATCAAGATGTCTGATTTCTGCTTCTGGGTTTGGGATGTTTGGTACTGAGAATGGCTCATCCGGTTCACTCCTTAAATAGGCGGACTGGGTTCTTGATGATTGCTGGAGTGCTGTCTCTAAAGTAATTAATGCCCATTGCATTGACTGCCTGCTCAACTGCCCCTCTCCGCCTCTCTTCTCTTCCGACTCACCTTGTTTTATCCATTTATGGCTGTAGCTAATCGCCGGGCTATTCCTCCTCTCGGTATGATTTCGAACCTTCCGCTTCTTGTATGTGTATTGAGACCTGTGACTTAGGTCAGTGCAGTTAATACCTTCTCTTTGTATCTCTGCAAGCTCTAGTTTCATAAATGCTGAGGCGTTAGTTCTAATCATTGCTGGAGAGTATTCTCTCCTTTCCCCTGTCTCAGGTGCTCTGCTGCAGTAAATTCCTTTTGTTAGTCTCCTCCAGGTAGGAGATGCATGCTGATTACCATTAATGTTTGCTTCTTCTTCCTTCCAACCGTTGATACCCAAATCTTCCTTGCCGATTTCATATTTACTCCTTTGGCTTTTGATTGACCTCTGCTCAGGTGGTTTAGGCGGCGGATTGGTTATTCTTCTGATTTGCCCTTCTGTGCAGATCTTCCGTTCATTGTTATAAATTTGAATCACATATACTATAACTACATCTTTTAATTTTTTTCTATACTCAAACGACTACCGGGGTTCATTAATCTTTCTCCCAAATTTTAGGGGTGTCCTAGCTTCCACCTGGGTCCGCCCCTGGTGATACTATCTTGGAGGATGTTTGGCAACTTTCCATTGAGCTCACGAAGCTGGCATGCTCATATGCTCCTCGTCGCACAAATAGGGCTGTCTATCAAGTGGTCCAAAAGGGCCTCTCGATCGTTTGACTATTGATCGACTATCGATTTAGTTACTTACTGTATTATGACTATTGGCTTTCAACTTTTATGGATGACTATGATAAAAACAATTGAGAACTCACTCATAAACCCATAACCCAATTTATCCATAACTCAATTAATCTATAAATCACTTGATCCTCAATCCGATAAAATCTAGTCTAAACGCTTCTGCAATGGAGGAGCTAGGTTGAAGCCAGGAAGGGCTATAGCCTCCTCAAATTTGAAATATAGTTAAAATTACATGTACAATTCGTAACAAATTAGGTAATAGACTAGTCGGTAGACATTATTAGTCCCTCCTCCCCCAATTGTTACCGCTCAAATTAACCACCCTTCATTCATATTTCAAGCTCCGCCACTCCATCGACAACTCTAAACCGCTAAACCAATGGTTCGTCCGAAAATGTGAGTCAATTGTCATGGTCGAAGAGAATGTTGACATGGCTAAGGGTGTTCAAATGGTTAGCATGGTAATTACCAAACCAAGTAAACCTGAATTTTATTAACCATGGAATACAATATCATAACCAAACCATCCAAACTAATACAACAACAAAATTAACCAAACTAAAATTTAATCGGTTTGGTTAATTGGTTAACCAGAATAACACATTAGCATTAAGTGAGAAATTTCTAGTTAATGCATCATTTCGCAATTTATATAATGAATAAAACATAACAATGAACACACAGTTATAGTTAACTTTTAACAAAAATACATGCAACTAATAATTATCTTACCGTTAATAGAAGTATTCACCTAGCAAAAATATATGTCAATGGTATGGAGTTAGTGAACTATTGTGTTTGTGTGAATTGATTTAGTCTCTTGGCAATTATCATAGGCAGAAAAATACTTTCGTTTCAAGTTTTCATATAACATAATGTATGAGTTTTAGCTAAATTAGGCGTTCATATGTTGTGGTCTACACTCTAAAAAATAAAATATACGATATATGAACAATATTGAGCTTTATTTTTTTATAAGGTTATAAGTGAGTAACATCTGCCAGCTATGCAAAATTAATATGCGTATATAATACACATTAGATATATGATTAATTACTTAACTGGTTAGTTTGGTTTCATTGATTTGGATTATCTGAAACCAAATCAAACCATCTAAACCAAACAAGCTAAAAACTTTAACCTAACCAAATCAATCATCCAAATTAACCAAATCAAATTATCCAAATACTACGGTTAAAACCATTACTACAATAACCACTCGTTTGAACACAGTAGACAGGGTGGCTGTGTTACCGGTCTGCCCGCCCGGTCCTCCACTCTTCGTTGTTCCTCGTCTCTCTGTAACGGTCTCTAACCCTAATTTTTTTCTTCTTGCTTCCGCTGAATCATGGAATGATATTAACTTAAAACTTCTTAGCTCCTCTGTATCCGACACACGACGGACTCGGAGTGCTCATTTCCCTTCTGCTCCTGGGAAGCGCTCGATGGATTTCTGCTAAGCCCCAGAAAGTTTTGAAGAAGATGAAATCCCTCAGAGTTCTCAGAGTCTTGGCGTCGCTCGCTAGGCGACCTTCCAATTCCCCGCTACAAAATCCTACTCGCCACGCTCGCTACTTCACAGCTCACCCGCAACACCAACACAGTAGTGACAACGAGGCCTTCGATAGCAGTCACTACGTGATTCCCGCCACTAATTCCGACGCTTCTGTTTCTTCTTCTAAAACCCTTCAAGAACCCACATGGAATGTGAAGTACAGAGAGAGAGCCGATAAATTCATATTTGGGGAGGAAACACAGAAAAGTAAGCTGAAGACGGCCCTTCACGAGGAAGAGGACGATTTGAAGAGGAGAGTGCTGGCCAGAGCCTTACTCGAGGCTGCACTCAAGGGAGACGATGAAGAGGAGGAATTGGTAAGGGAAGAAGACCAGAAGTCTCTTTCCGTTGGGATTATTGGTGCTCCGAATGCTGGGAAATCTTCCTTAACAAATTACATGGTTTGTGTTTCGCAACTCGTTAGTAATTTGATATTGGGTTGGTTCCAAAATGGGGGAAAATGTGACGTTTTGGTTGTAATTTTTGAAATTGGAGTCTGCAGAATAGTTTTGCTCTTGAGACTGTAAGAAAGATTTAGTTGAGACTACACCGAACTTGATTGCCCGATAAGTTACAGTTCAACACAATTGCTGCAAGTTTCATCTTACTGTGATTTTAGAAGAGCTTGGTCGTCCTGTTATGGGGTGAGCTTTATCATCCACGAAGTGCATTCTCACTGTTGCTTATTATGCTATGTAGGTGGGAACAAAGGTTTCTGCTGTATCGCGAAAAACGAATACCACTATTCACGAAGTGCTGGGGGTAATGACGGAGGGAGATACCCAGATCGTACGTTTATTGTTTCCGTTCGTCCCCTGCTTACTCGATTAATATGTCATTGATGATAATTGTATTGTTTCCTTGCATGTTTCCGTAGAACTATTTCTTCATCCGTATATTAGATGGGTTGTTTGATTGGTTTACATAATGCACAAGTACTTGGTAGGTATAAAAATTGCGCTGTTGATGTACCAGCCTTAATGGAGAGAAACAAACCTTTCTCACCGGTGCACATTTTTCGTATCAAATGTAGATCATTTGTGTCTCAACTGAATTAAGGATCCTTCTTTCTCTGTGTGGCTATGAAACACATTTTAGTTGGTAGTAGCTTGAGTAACTTGTCTGTCTATCGGGATTGTCAGTTTAAGGAAACTACAGTTTTATCCTCTATGGAAACCGTTCCTTGAAGCAAAATGAAAAGCCATCATTCGTTTCACCTTGAAAGAAATTGGATTCAAGCTCTGTCAGAAGTTTATGTAAAAGCAATCCCCTTGCCCTTTGCACTGCCATGACCAGTATTTTTTATTTTATTATTGCTGATGAATTCTGTATCCAGTGTTTCTTCGACACCCCTGGTCTCATGCTAAACAGTCGTGGGTATGCTTACAAAGATGTGAAGACGCGGGTGCAAAATGCTTGGAGCACAATTGGCTTGTATGATGTCCTAATGGTTATTTTTGACGTTCACAGGCACCTAACGAGGTTAGTGATCTATTGACTTAACCTTGACTGTATTTTTAGCTGTTTGGAGCTATACAACTTACGATTGATATGGAACATAACAAAATACAGACTTCTGGTTCGTTTTAAACTCTGGATGACCCTTTTATTGTTTACACGTGAGAAGTAAATTTTCTGATTCTTTTTTTTTTTTGTAACAGGCCTGATTCGAGGGTGATAAGGCTGATAAAAAAATTGGGAGAACAGGAAGATGCAAAGCAGAAAAGGGTATTATGCATGAATAAGGTTGATCTAGTTGAAAAGAAGAAAGAGTTGGTGCAAGTCATAGAGCAATTTAAAGATCTACCTGGCTACAACAGGTAATAAAATTCTAATATGCTAATGTTCCTTCATACCATGCTGGAATGCATGTCTGGTGAATTTTCCAATTCTGTTTTTAGGCAATTCCTCATATCAGGGCTAAAAGGCGTCGGAGTAAAGGATGTTACGCAATATTTAATGACACAGGCATGTCTCACTCGGCTCTATGCAATTCAGTGCTGATAACTGCTCCCATTGTGATTCATTTTCCTTACTCTGGAACTTGCTACTGATGTTCTTATTTGAATTGAGGCTTTCCATGTGGATGGTCTTATCGTTTCTAGTTTCTTCAATCTGAATGCAGGTTTCTTTTAGATGCATAATAAAATATAAATTGAAAATTTTGATAATGATGTGAGTTTTAATCTAATTCACTTGGCCCATAAATCTGTTTGTTTCACTGAGGGAACTCTATTATTTTATTTTCCTGAATCCTTGTTGGAAAAATCTGCCTAGATGTTAGATGGACGAACAACAAGGTTGTTCTTGGATATTGGTGCTGAGCAACACAAAAAATTGAGTTTGAGGGCTACTGTTTCAGTAATAGTTATTCAGAGCATTCCTAGAAAGTAGAAGTGTTTTTTTTTTCTAAGCACGGTGAAGATGCATAGATAAATATCATGTTTTCATAAATTATGAGTCTTCCCTTGTTTCCTTAACCTTTCCGCTATATTGTATCTTGTCTGCTGAAGTAGCTACTTGCATGTTTATTTGAATAATGATTTTGTTGATCCTGATTTTGGATAGTTTTTATTACGTGTGTGCTTAGGCAGTTAAAAGACCCTGGGATGAAGATCCCCTTGAGTTAGGCGAAGAAGTGATGAAGAATGTATCATTAGAAGTTGTTCGAGAAAGATTATTAGACCATGTTCATCAGGTTAAAGTCTGAATGTTCTCAATTAACAAGCACTTGCTGCTATTCACGTATGGATTATTTGTGCTGGGTACCACTGAACCCATCCTTCTTTCATATCAGGAAATCCCATATAGCATCGACCATCGGTTGATGGACTGGAAGGAACTGAGGGACGGGTCACTCAGGATAGAGCAGCACTTTATCACAAACAAATTAAGCCAGCGGAAGATTCTCGTTGGCAAGGGGGGTTGCAAAATAGGGTAATTAGTTGCTAGACCAGCATCTCTCACAAGTTTTAAGACTCTGCTTTTGGCTCAGTATCTAACATCATCCTGGCTGAGATAGGAAATATTTGGTATATTACCGAATTCCATTTCTTCTTATGTGTCAGATCGGTTGTTCGTTGCAGGAGAATAGGTATAGAAGCTAATGAAGAGCTGAAGTCAATATTCAAGAGGGAAGTGCACCTTATCCTTAAGGTCAGGCTGAAAACTTGATGAAGAAAATCGCTGCCATTTACCTGGATCTCCATGTTTGCCAACAGGGTTGTTCTTGTACATACCAGAAAGTGCAGCGGGCAGCAGCAATGCATCTGCCACCACAAAACCTCGTCAGCTCCCTTGCTTTGCCTGAATCTGAATGAACGAAACAAGGAGGACCTCCTCCTGGTTCCACCTGTTTGAAGAGAAGCTGGAGGCCGTATGTGAGTGGGCAATTGAAGAGCAAGCAGCAATCTGGTTCGGATGTTCAGAGAAGCCATTGTATTTTAGCCCGAGGCTGTTGGTAATGCCTGTCCCGGAAGTCTGCCTTTGTTCTGGGGTTAGACTATTACGTTGTTATGGTTTCTACCCATCCCATCCTAAAAAGCGCAATTTTTTTAGAGAAAAATAATAATTATTTGAGTGACTGATCTCTTCGGTGTTCATCAATGAAAAGAAACTCCTTATAGCCATTTCTATTATGAAATCCCTTCTCAGCTCTTCTGTTGTGCCAATTCAGTCTCAAACTTGCAAAGTAAGTTACCGATTTGACAATACAGGCAAGGGATACAAGTTGAATCTCAATGATCCAATTTGTGTACCTCCACGGAAGGACTAATCTCATCAATTGATGGATTTCAGCAATTCCTCAGAAAATTGTGGTCCACTAAAACTAATTATATGATTAAAGTTTGGTCACTCTTCGTTAACTTCCATTAGTTTCTAACTTTCTATTAACTACGTTAATTTTTTGCTGACATGACTAACAGACTTGCCTAATCCGTCTAATTTAACCCGACCTGATTCCTGCACGGCGAGCATGCCGACTTCGACATCATCGATGCTGTCAAACAAATAGAGACAATATATCTTGGAAGGAAAGGTTTCTCGAGCTCAACTTTGATGTCATCGACACAGTTGTGCGAATGGAAAGAATCTAACCTTGAAGATGACAAGCTTTCTCCATGCATATGATGTTAGTGTCGATGGTAACATTCAACCATCACATCCCTATTATATTTAAACTACAAAAAAATAGACGAAGATAGCACAATTTATATTCATAAAAATATTTTAATTCAAAATATTAGTTCATACAAAAAACAAAGTTCTTTAATATAACCAAAACAATAGAAGCCATGATGATGTACAGGCCCATGTGGTTAGTGGTTTTGCTGAAATTGGTTGTCTAAGTCCGCGGCAAAGCCCAGTATCCCAAAGTATTGTTCTCTAAACAAGTATTTGGTGTGGTTATGCTAATTTTATTTCTGTAAAGTCTCAAAATTTAGACAATCCAATATTTATTACAAAAATATATTTTATAACCTATTGTTGCATATTTTGTAACCCATTGTTGCATATGTTTTTTCTAATGTACTTCTTGATACGATGATTCATATCATAGTTAATTACTTATCAACGATTGTTTTTTGATTCATTATTAGTTTGGATTTCTCTATGAATTTCTGGATTTGATAATGAAGGTTGGTTCACAATGTTCATCTTCATTCCAAAATTATCTTTTGTTTATAACTCTCATTATTTGGAATGTCTGATTTTGTTTTTCAAAAATCGTTTCTTGACCCCTACTGCATATATTTTTTTACGTGTTTCTCAATTGATTAACGGAGATCCCGACATTGTCAAATTTGCTCCTTTTCCATTTTTTTATTAAATGTATTTTTCGGATGCACTTTTTGATTTGATAAGAACCAAGATTAATCCATAATGTTCATCTCAGTGGCCATATATGGGTGGTTCTTCCAAGCGGTTTAATCATTTGTTTAAATATGAAACAAATCCATCTTTGTTTTGATATTTTAAGGATCTTTCTAATACGATCTTCATTTAAGAACACGATAGATCCTAACCGTAGAGTGTTTATCTCTAAGACAAAAGAAATCAATCTTCTCCTGGAGCGCGCACTTCGTCCTCTTCCTTTGAAAGAAAAAACAATATCTATGTTGTTATTTTCATTTGCACTTCTCAATCTCATAAAGACGATAAATACTAGATATGAGAAATCGATTTTGTGTAGTCACATCGCTCGACGGTCTTTTTTTAATGAAAAAGTGTTCAATATTTTGTTTAGTGCATTATTTCAAATGAGCTTTTATCGATTTAACAATGATGGATCTTCACGATCGTGATAGAGTCTTCATCATTCAAATTTGTCCTTCCTTTGCAGCAAAATTTAGTGCATTTGCTCAATTATTTGATTTATTCTTCTAAAATGCCACTCAACTCAACCTGTGAATATTCACGTTGAACCTTGATATAAAAAATGCATTACTTTTTTTATTTATAGTATTGTATTTTACCTAATTAATTATTTTATCGACTCATCAGTTCCCTCAATCACACAAAATTACATATAATTTAAATTTTCGTCACCACAACTTCACAAATATGCGTACAAATGATGGCTCCAAACACATTAACGGCCACCGCAACATGGTTGCGGCTAGGGGTGGGCAACGGGCGGGTTGGGTGGGTTTTGGTCTCAAATTGACCCACCCGTTTACTAGCGGATTGGAAAAATTGTGATCCGCAATTCACCCACATGCTTCTGCGGGTCGGGTTGGGTGGGTGGTGAATGGTGCGGTTGGGTCGCGGGTCAACCCGCAAAAGCAATTCTCCAATTAGCCATTAAGAAAATTGACTAAAATTTATAATAAGTTCATAGCAAATTAGTAAGACTGTATCAATAATTTGTGATTTGATACAATTGATAATTTATAGTTTGTATCCCAATATTTAATGGCTATTAACAATAATCTGCATACTAATATCCAATATCTAGTGGATATTGCACAACACAATGACCAATAATAGTAGTCAAAACTATTATTTATTCTCCACCTTTTGAAGTATATGGTCAAACTGTAGTGCAGCTCGAAAATAAGATGAACATTCGATACTATAAGAAATAACATTTTTGCATGTAAAAATAGGATGCGGGTCATATGGGTGACCCGCAATCCACCCACCACCCACCCACATAAGTGTGGGTGGGAGATTTACCAATCCGCAATCCACCCACATCAATCACCCACTACGTGCGGGTCGAGTTATTTGCAGGTGGATCAATATCAATCCGCGGATTAACCACTCACGTGCCCACCCCTAGTTGCGGCCACCCGTATCTAGTATTTCTTAAAAAGGATGGTGATTCAAAATACCATAACAAACTTATAAAAAAAACATAACAAAACATAGCAAACCAGCTTTCCACTAAGAAAGTTGGAATCTTACTCTCCAGCATCAGTTGGCACTACTGAAAAAGCACTAGAGACTGACCAGGTTCACTGAATCTGACAACCCAATGCCTCCCTCTCCTTTCTTTTCAAACTATATACATAGCAATGTCTTTAACTCCTTTCCCAAAAGAAAGCACAAAATACAGAATCCCTCAGGATCCCAGGAAATTGTCAGCAGCTATGGAGCTTCTTGCTGCTACCCATTCCGATTCAGAGTTAGGGAAGTTGGCCCTTTTCGACGACTGTCGCGGCGGCTGATGATCAAGCTTTGATGATTGGCTTCAGCCTGCTGAGTTGAAGGCTCTCAAAAAGGAGTTCCCCCATCCAAAAACTTCAGTGTTCTAATGTTTCTTTTACTTCCTCTCTTCATCTATTTCGGTATTTCCCTTTCAGAGAGATTCAAATTAACAATTTGTTGGGTTTGAGCGATTTGGATGCTAGCTTGGCTGCTCCTTCTGCAAGTGAGTTCATTGTTCTTGCTGCACCTTGCTCAAGCTTTATTTGGGAATATTATTATATAATAATGCCATTACTATTTATGTTGCTGTCTTACATCACCATTGGATCGTGACTTTCAACCGACTCTGACAGTAATGGCTAATTGGCACCCAGAAGGCCAGAAACCATTTTAGCCCCTCCAACTTCATAGCCACAGTGAACTTCTCTGATTCCCTTTCTTCAACACTATGTATTACTACAATCATACTTCATCTGTGACAAAGATATGATAAAAACTTCATTCAATCCATAAAAAATTTACATTACATGCACCACCATACATAACTTGTCCCTAAATTTTCATCAGCATGGCTTCACCTAGCTGTAATTAGAGCCACAAAGGAAGCCTAAGCTAGCAACAATCAAACGATTCTAACTGGTCCAAATTCTTGCTGCGGAGTTCACAACATAAAACGGTCTACTCTTTCTTATCCTTGGGAGTTGGAGAAGAAGGTTTGAACAGCAACTTGAACACCCTAGCAGCCAAAATCGCTCCGAGAAGCGGCGAAATGCAATACACATAAAAGAGCTGCCAATTGTTGTGCCGATTGTTCACATACGCCCATCCATAAGCATTTGCAGGGTTCATAGAAGGTCCAGTGAACTTACCTCCAGTAAAAATCAACCCAACAGTTACCACGGCCAAGAGCCAAACTTTGACCAGGTAATTTCTCGGCCCTTTGACCATAATCGACAGCAGGGCCAGGCAGAGCACGAAGCTCAGAGCTGCCTCGGCGATTGCTCCGGTGTGGAGATCCACTTTCAGCGACGGCCCACCGAGCACGTGCCTGAATTTGGCCGGGAGGAATTTCCCGATTGCTTTGGCGCCGAGCACCCCACCGGCCGCCTGGATCGGGAACCGGGCGGCGATCGAGAAGAGGGAGGCGTCCGGTTTGAGGCCGGCAGCGTAGAGGGAGACGGTGGTAGTTGGGTTGAAGCTGGCGCCGCCGAGGAGGGATCCGATTGTGCTGAAGAAGAGGACAAAGGCGGCCGCGACGTTGACGGTGATGAAGACGGCGGCGAGGGATTTGGGTTCGACGCCGGCGAAGGAGGATACGGCCGCGGAGGTGATTACGAGGAGTGGGACGGAGAAGACCCACATCGAGGTCAAGATTCCGTCTCCGATGGCTGACTTGATTAGGCCCATTTTGATTCGCTTCGCCGGCGAGTCCGACCTGGTGGTTTCGGAGCTGGCGCGAGCTCTAGAAGTGAAGTGTTTGGTAGCCCCAGTAAGAGATTGGAATTTGGATGTATTTGTTGAACGACAGGTAAGGAATATCTTGGTGTTCGTATAAAAACGAAGAAATAAAGATGCTACCTAACCTACTCTCACTTAGAGATGTTTAATACAGGATGATGCTTTAGAACTTCCAGAACTTCTCAGTTTTTTTTTTCCTTAATGAAGTTTGAGATTCATATAACTGTTAAGATAAAAGATACGTAACTAATATAAAAGTTAGTGGTACAATGTGGTATGTCGAAATCGTGGTTCAGTCGTTTCGTACAATTAAATTTTGTTTATCGATTTAGTCTCTGGTATGAGATTTTTTTGGTCAAACCATCTGTATGGTGCGATTGTTTAGATTTTCGGGACGAAAACTTAATTAGAATCTTAAAAACAATTATGAAAAACGACAATCTTCAATGTTAATTGGCCCTCTTTACAAATTTTCATGGACACGGAGTGTTAGTTTGCTTGGCATGGCTCATAGTTTTTCTGATTCAATGTCTCAAAACGAGACATTTTGTCCAAATATGTTGTATGGGAAACGAAATTAAAACGAGATGTTGAACGGATGAAACCATTCGAAAGTCTAAATTGAGACATTTCAAAAAGCTAAATTGCAAGTTTGGTCACTAGAATTACTATAAATTTTTACTTTTGTCACTAAAATTAATTTATTCCATTCATGGTCATTAAAATTAGTTTAACAGTTCAAGTTTGGTCATTCTCCGTTAGTTTCCATTAACTTTGAATGATGTGACAGTCAACTCTAATAGTTGACCGTTAAATAAGAGATGTGGCACTTAAAAAATAAAAAAATATATTTTTGCAATTTCCACCTCATTTTTCATACTATTAAAAAACTAAAACTAAAAATTAAATTTCTACCCGAGTCCAAAGAAGAGAAACACCATAGCAGCCGGGCCGAGTCAGCAACCTCAAGAACAAGAAGAAGAACAAGAATGAAGAAGAATGGGTTGAAGGGTGTTTTGCCGAAAGGGTTCGTTCCTTCCAAAAAGTGGGTGACATAAGCCCTCCTCGAGCTCGCCGGCCGCTTGAACCTCGACGTCGCCCACGATTCCCCTGTTCTCCAGCAGATTTACGCCGCCAGAAACCTCAAGCTCAAAAAACTTTGGACCCCTTCTTCGCCCCTTCCCCGGCAATCGCCCGCCGTCCGCGTCGCTACCCCTTCGAGATGCTTCTCGTCGCCGTCCAGGACGTCGTCTACTGCAAGCCCTGAAACTACTCCGGCATCGAATCCCTGTCGCCGTTCCCGTCCTCGCAAAAGTAAGAAGATTCTAAGCAGCACAACACCTGGCGCATCTGTCCTTCCCACCCCATCTCCCTCTGGCGAGCTCGCAATCAACGTCGTTATCTCCACCAACGGGTCCAACCCGGCCGTTCGACAGTCTCCATGTGGCCATACCCTGCTTCCTGTTGGCGTGACTGGACTTGGCAGTTCTCTGCCTTGACGATGGAAACACCGGACCATCGTGCATCATCTATTATCGCGGTTCTCCGGCGATGTATCTGCTCTCCGTTGTACTGTTTGGTCATGATGGAGCAGGAAGCACTAGTGGCGGCGTGTGCTTCAGATGGGTGCATCCCCTTCAGCGCGCTGCTGTCATCTCCTGCAACGGCGAGGGAGCGAGCGCATCTCTCCGCCAGCTGCCGGTATGCATGACGTGGTTACAATTCCCTGACACGTGTCGGCCTTGCTTTCTTTTGCTCTTATCCTAACTCTCTGAAGGTAAGCGACTAAGCGGTAAGTTGGCTCGTCAGTATTATTTTATTTTGTTTTACTTATTGCTTTTTAATTATTAGGCTTTTTTGGATATGGGTGCTTGGTGGACAAGCATCTAGATCTAGATAATAAATAAAAGCCGAATGATGAAAACTGTTGCTCCATTTCAAATTTCTTTCAACGAGAGTGATTATAGGAAGGACATTTTGGTCTTCACAATTGCTTATTTTCTTATTTATTTATTCATAAAAAGGCATGCACTGGGATTTGAACCTTGGTCTCTTTAAAGGCAAGCAAGGATCATAACCAATAACACTAAGTATATTTGTTGTATCTATTTAAATTCAAACATACACGAACCTAAATTATGAAAATCATATGACTTTTTTAACGATTAGTTGGTCACTGAATCTCCCGTAAGTACTTATTTGGTGTTTTAATACTTTGATTATTTTAGTTGTAGTTTAATACTTAATTTAAATTTCTATCTATTTTATAAATATACAATAACCCTAAAATTGCAGCCCAAATATCACTGGTTCGAATATTGCATATCAAATTGCAATATTAAACATGTAGAAGCAATATCGACTTCTTAAATTAATATTATTTTTCAGAATTACTATGGAGAAATTATATCTTTGTGCAAACTATATGAAACTGGTTCTTTTAATGTTTTAGTCGGGATAACCGCTACATTTTAAACTTCTTCATAATCTGGCATGATTGGATCCAATGATCATTATACAAGATTGTGTTTAATAGGGTGGCTCATTTCACCACTTTTTGGTGTGTTAATGAATTTGTAGGACAATGACAGGTCTACATCTACACTCATCACAATCTACACATCATATAAATGTGAAATGTGAAATGAGAAAAGAGGGATTCCATTTCAAATTTGATGCGTACAGAGCAATTTTTTAGGGGTAAATTTAGAAGATGCCAGTGCGGTCGGTCTGTTGAGCACGAAAGTAAAAATATGTTTTCATTTAAACGGGCCCAAACTGTTATTTGGCCCACTAATCGTGCACCCATCACCAATGCAGTCAAATTCGGGATTTTGATCGTAAAATCGTAGGATTTTAGGATTTTACTTAGGGATTCCGATCTTGATTTTACTATAAAATCGGTGGACCTTAAAATCACTTAAAATCGGGACTAAAATCGTTAAAATTGTAAAATAGTACCAAAATCGGGATTTTGATCGTAAGAGAACAGAATAGGTGGTTTGAGCCAATTTAAAATAAGTATAACTGTTTCAGCGGAAAGGGCAATGGAATCTTCTCAGATATTTTTCTATTAGAAAAATATTCAAAAATAATAAAAATAACCAAATTAGGGTTCGGTTAATCTCTTTCCCTTCACCCCATTTAACTTATTGGTGAAACACCTGTCCTAATATTGGAAGTATGTAAGAACTAACATCATTATTAACTAATTAATTTATTAATGAATATATTTGTACCAAGCCACTAACATTACTTATTTTATTGGAGTTCAATTATTTTTAGTTTTAAATCATACTTAGTAGACGATGTCGAAATATTACTTTGAGTTAAACAACCTAGACATAACATGAAAATAAGATCCAAACCCATGAACTATATCCCTTCATCATGAATTATTTTGAGTTACACATTAAATAACAATTAAAATAGTGATTTTGGAACATTAATCTTGAGAATTATCTTATGGAAAAAAAATCTTCTGAATTATCATTTTAAATGCTATGTGTCTTTGTGATATTAATAATTTACCTTATTAATATTCTTATATGCTATGTTCTATATGGTACTTAAAATCCTACGATTTTACGATTCGATTATACGATTTTGATTTTACCCCAGTTTTCGATTTTAGGTAAAATCTCGATTTTAACTGCTTTGCCCATCGCAGCCTCTCCAAATCTTCCTATTCTACTCGCCGGGTCATCTCCTCCACTACAAAATATCTCCTCATGTAGTCAAAGTTCTCACTGAAACCTAATATCTACAACTTAGGCGCAGAGGGAGCAACCGATGGATTGTAGCGACCCCCACTATTTTGATAGCTAATCAAGAAGAGTGCGTTTGTTTAGTTGTATGGTGATTCACTTAATTAACAATTTTTATTCCGTTGACAGCCTCCTCTCCGCAATTGTATTGTGTTCACGAAGATCTGAAGGTGCAAGTGCAACAGGTCCAGGGGTAAACAATATGTATAAAGCGTTGGCCAAATTGAATTGAGTCATTCTACTTGGAATATGAAGATTTTTGCTTAATTGCTTTGGTTCGTGATGCAACTATGTTATGTTTGAAGGTAGACCAACGCAAACAACAGCACAGCTCCAGGGCTATTCTGCACATTAGGTAGTTGGGGCATTAATTGATAATTATTTGGGATTATTCCTACAAGTACATAATTTGGAACGTGCCTTTATATTGCATTGATTAATAGTTGTTTGAGATTTTTCAAATGAGTGATTTGACATGTTAAACTCTCTTATTTTTGAAAATGGAGTCTTCGAAGTGGAATATGAAGAGTTTGGATTAAGCTTGGTTTCGTAGCGCCCTTATGGGTGTTTATTCTCTAAAATGCAGCTGTCTTTCAAAGTGCCTGTTGCAAATGGCAAGTCAGGATACAACGATGGTACCGGTACACGTTTATATCATTAGTAGGTAGCAGATTGTGTCCATTCTACTATATCATTTAGCTAAATACTTAGTTGTTCTTTTCAACTAAAAATTATGCTTAAATGCTGTGATTGGCCTCAGAAATGTATGTCTTTGCATTAACTGTTAATGATTGTGAGTTTTGGTTTGATGGTGAAAAGTCCATTTATTTAGAAGTCTAAATTGGGCAAACCTATTGGACAATAGGAATGCCATACATTAGTGTCGTGGGAGGTTTGTTTGATGTCTCAGGGTGTTAGATTTTTAAGAAGGTTGTTTGTTGTGGCAGAGAGTCCCTAAAGCTAGCGAGGTATTCCTATGTGGGCTTTTTCTTTGTTTGACTTTTTCTCGCCTTTTTCTTATCTCTTTTTCTATTTTTGGTTTTTGTGTGCTACCTTCAGTTGCTATGTCTTCATTTGTGAGCCATCTATACTTTTCTTATTTAGTGCCTAAAAATCATATATATACTCGATTGCATAGTAGTTACTAATAGATACATTTATACCAATAGAGAGATTTTAAGTTTTATCAGTTGTTAGTTTTAATATTTACTTACATTGGTTGTTTATGTAGTTTTCTTTGTAATATTTCTCATTATACAACTAATTACTATGGCTACGTAGTTGTATAAGTGGGGGTTGGACATGATAGTTCTTAGAAGCATCAATACTTGAAGGTTATTATAATGACCAAATTCTAAAGTTACGGTTTGCCTTCAACTTGCTTGGAGCATTTCAATTATGCATCAATTGTTCTCTCCGTGTAGTTAACTCTCAGACAAATCGAAAATCTTGCTGATATATGCTTGATTGTAGTTAAATTTAGGGTTCTACTGCATTGTTGCTTTACTCTTTTTTCGTGGTTGAGTCTGCTTCAAAAAATTTAGTTTGATTTTAGAAAATTTTGCTTCTGCAGTCCTGTCTTGCCACCAACGCGTTCAATAGATGGAGACGGGAGAGGCGAAGGCTATTTTTGTGTTGTTGTTGCTGGTTTAGGGATCGGTTTGTGAAGAAGAGGGAGAAGAGAGGGGGAAAGGGAAATGCAGGAGAGGGGGATAACTCTTTTCTCCGACAAAAATGGAGTGAAGAAAGGAATTATGATCAGTAAGAATATGGTTATCTTACATAACGGTCTCTATTTTGTTTGAATTGAGCTTGAGAGGCAGTGATAAGGACGAGCTGCAACCAATTCATAGTGAGAAGAGAGCTATGAACTGTGATCATGTCTTATTTCAAGTTAGAAGGTAGTTTCAGTATAAGGATTATTTAATTTGACAAGTTGTTTCGTCCATGATTCTTGATAGTTTCAATGCCATTCTAGCCAATGTTTAGTCTGTAATTTTTGAGAATTGATGTGCGAGTAATGACTTTCACTTAGCTTCAACTATTATGTGTGTATTTATTGGCATGTGATAGAATTCTCTTTTCCTTTTCATTGAATTCATTTTCATACTCTAATTGTATTATTTGTACATAGGCAAATCATGCTCGAGATGGCAACTCGCTGATATGGCTGGTGCAAGGAATGAAGTCATCATTAGAATTCAGACCGACAACGGGGAGGGATGCCCAGGACTAATTCAATGATGATTGATGATGGTATAATAAAAACTGCAGTCTGCATCAGCACCAATTTCTAGGCCTAAGTAAAGGTATTCAACCCAGAACTCTGCTTAGCGAAAAATTGCCCTCACCCAACCTTGATCCTGTTTGACCCACTTCTGAAGAGTCAAGATATATGACTAATCCTCCCCGTTCGTATTTTCTTATTTACTCTTTCTGACCCTGTAGGTTGGGGCGGGTCGGGAAGAATTGGATTAGTGGGTCGGTCCTAATCAAGTGGAATCCCAATCCCTTCACTCTCACTTGCTTTCTCTCCCATTCCACAAGTGGGTAACATACAGTAATCCGGCCAACGGACCGGGTAATAAGCTAGTTCCATTCTTATTCCCGGTGGATAAGTGAGAAGTTTTATTATTATTATTATTATTAGGTGCAGCTATTTATCTTTTTAATGTGTTCATAATTGGCTTTGCTTTGGGCCGCTTTACTCGAACAAGGTAGGTGGGCTCTCATTAGTTTTGGCTTGGGCCGGTACTCGCCCATTAGTTTGTTCATTTTGTAAGCGTTTGCCTTTTGGTGAGTCCTTTTTTACCCATGTTGTTCAGCTGCTTTTCGGAGCGTGAGTCGCTCTGTCAGATCTACAAGATTTAGCTTTCTTTTGTGGCTTTCGGGCCTCTTCGTTTGTTCATTTTGCAGGTAAAGATGCTCATTGGGAGTGTCAATCTTCATGATACAAGGTTTGCTTTCCTGCTTCAATTTTCAGCATGGAATGCAGCAGGCCTGGGCTTTGTTTGTTTGTTGTTTTTGCAGGGATCTCAGACTCCTATAGTTTTGGGTTTTTGTTTACGGGCAAGGGTGACAATGTCTATGCTTCGATTTTCAGAATCGGCAAGGGTCTGCTTCTCTGCTTCAATATTCAGCGTGGTTAATTCATGATTTTGGTACTTTTAAGAGAAGAAATCATGATATTGCCCATGTCCTTAAGGTACCAAGGGCTGCCCATATCGTGGCAAAAAGAGCCCTCTTGTCGTTGGATCTTCCGACGCTTCTTCCTTATTTATCTTTTGTAATTTGACCTGTAAAGGTTTTGTACTTATTTTTCGTATCTTGCTGTTTCTCATCTTGTGGGATACCTTTGGCAAAAAAAAAAAAAAAAAAAAAATCTACCCGAGTCCAACCCCAAGTGAGTCGATCAGTCCGGGGAAACATGCCGGAGGAGTTGTGGCGGAGACAGAGGATATCAAACTCAGGGTTCGTTCGATTCCCTAAACAAACCTCTGGGGAAAATCGGGACCACACCACGCGCGTGCAGGAATCTCTCCGTTCTGGAGATCTCCGATCATCTTCTCACCGGGGAGCTCCTCGCCAGCTTCGTCGCTTGAGATATTAGATCTCTCTATTTCACCACCAGGTGTCTCAGAATCGATTTCCGGGTCCCCAATCTAGTTTCGCTAATTGCTCCCTTCAGAAATCCTCGATTTGTCTCAGAAGTCAAAACCACCTCCAGCTGCCGATTCCGGTAGCGTTGTTAGCTAGGTTGAAGAAATTAAAGCGGTTATCTTTGTCGCACAACAGCTTCTCCGGCGGAATCCCGGTAGAGCTCGGTGGTCTCTGCGAAACTTTTCAAGAGCTCGACCTCTCTGGGAACAAGCTCAACAGATTCCCCTTTGTTTTCAAATCATGCTCTGTTCTCGAAACTCTCGACCTTGGAATCAACGAGCTCTCAGGATGAAACTGCTTTCCAGGGCCCTCTCATTCTTCTCGTAATCTTATTCCTTGAACCTTCCCCAGAAATCCCAAACCTTCCTTTCTCTAGCATCAACCAAACAGACCGTCCTTTTCTTTCTAGAAAACTCACTTCCCAGAAAATGAAAACCCCCCCAAATCCCTCTTCTTGGCATTCCTTCTCTTTCACTTAGTTGCTTGTGAAAGACCCCAAATCGTCAGCCGCCGAGGTCTTCTACGGGAGGAGACGGAGCTGGCGAGGAGTGTGAGTTTGTCGGGTTCGGTGCTGTGACGGATTGAGCTGCCACGATGGAGGTAGCAAGGAGAAGATTAATTTTAGGGTTTATTATTTTATTTTTAATAATTGAAATAATGAGGTGGGAATATTAAATATTAATTTTTTTATTTTTAAATTGCCATGTCACATATTTAACAATCAACTCTTAGAGTTGACTGCCACGTCAGATAAAGTTAACGGAGACTAACAGACAGTTACCAAACTTGAACCATTGAACTAATTTTAGTGACCAGGAATGGAATAAACTAATTCTAGTGGCAAACGTGAAATTTTTTAGTAATTTCAGTGACCAAACTTGCAATTTACCCCATTTCAAAATATCTATCGACATCCTAGTTATTTCAAAATGTCCCATTAATTTAATTTTTATCCAAAAATATCCAAGCCAATTGTATTCAAGCCCAAAAATGCCCTCTTCGTAACCTGATTCGACTACATCAGCTATACGGTTTCGACGTCGACAACAACCACTGGACCTGCGTCGAATCCCCACCACCGTCATAAGCTAATGAGGATCATGTCCGTTGGTGGAGAAGCACCCATCACTTTGTCCTGTTCCTCCATCATGTGGTCGGGCGTATGAGGTTTCTAGTATGCTTTTGAGTTTTTCTTGTCTACTTAAGAGAACTTGTGATTTGCTTTATGAGGTTTATGTTGTGCTTCAGGGGACTTGTGGTCTATTTTATGAAACTTGTGGTCAGATTTATGAGGTTTATGGCGTGCTTCAGGGAACTTATGGTATGCTTTATGAGGTTGATGTTCAACTTTAAGAAACTTGTGGTCTACTCACTCATCTCTTTTTTCATACAATTTTCTTTTGTTTTGCGGAGTCAAATTTGAGACGGATAAGGATTATTAAGTCTTGCTTAGAAGACTTCTGCTTCAGCATTGGACAACAGATCAATTACAACGATGATGCATGTCTCTCAGAACATATCTCATTCCAAGGCACTAGAAAGAGAAGGCATTCCACTTAAGGCGGAACTAGAGAAGTATCTGGGAATTCGGACCATACATGGGCAAGTCACCATGAGAAAACACCAGAGCTACTCCTACGAATGCTTAAGAAGCTGGCTCCGTCGAAAGCAAAATGGTTATCTTTTGCTGCTTGCCTCACCATGGCGAGATTTATATCATCTTATCTTCCTACTTATCATATGAATACTTAATTTATTTCGAGTTCAGTGTGTAATAGTATCGATAAGTTCGACCGAGATTTCGCACGGAGAGACTAAGAAAACAAATACAAGATGCACCTAGTAGCATGGGAGCATATGACTCTTCTCAATACCCAAGCTGGAGTGGGGTTTTGATATCTTAGGCAAGCGAACCTAGCAATGCTGCGAAGACTAGGTGGCAGCTCCTCAAAAAGGAAGACAACCTGTG